GTATTTTTGAGACAGGGTTCTGCTATGTGGTTCAGGCTGGCATTATGATGCTCGCCTGGCCTGAAACTCAGCGATCCTCCTGCCTCAGACTCCTGAATGCTGGGATTACAGGCATGTATCACCACACTGGGCTTATATCAAGTTCTTTCTTACAGAAACTGGCCAGCAGAAAAGAGGACAGTGACACATATGAGAAAGCTGCAGAAACAGCAAAACCCAAAGAAACTCAAGTTTCTGAGAGTACTGAAACCCCAGCTACAGGTCCAGTGCTTTTTTTCTTAGATCTATGAAAATTAAGCAACCAGGGATGAGGTGAGCAGAATGACATTTAGAAGAAAACCACAGTGAATCGCACATAGCGAATGGGGCTTGGGCTTGGAGTTGTTATATTTCTGTTCTCTTCTCCTCACCAACAGCCATGCTTATGCAATATGTGCAATATGCCCAGCAGCTTCTCTGTAGATACCCAACCGATAAGTTGCCTAGCTTAAATCACACAGAGCTACACAAAACCAAACCGCTATAAACACATTATCTTTCTTAATACGAAACCATGTGGAAGTGAAAACAACAACAACAAAATGAAAACAGATGCTTCTAGTGCTCACATCATTGAAACTTCTTGCTTTACAGTTGTGGAAACTGAACTCCGGGAGAGAATGCTGGAAGCACTCGCAGGAAAAGGGGGAGCTGGGGCTTGAATCCTAGCTGACTCTGGATTTATCAAACAAACCTCCCCTTGTTACACTGTCCAACCTTCTTCAAAATAAATGTGAATGAAATCAAGGGAGAGCTGCTGCTACTCACTCGATACTTGGTGAGGAGCTGGGGCCGGGGCTGCCTCTCTCCCAGGGCTGAACGGCCGCTCTTCAGGGGCATCACCTGCACGGCCAAGAATAGCCTTCTATGAATCAAAATGAGATGACTCAACCAAAGACCCACAGCAGCTTCAGAATAAGTAGTTCTTGAAATCACAGCCACAGGGAGGTGATTCATTCACATTAGCAAGGTGCTTTAGCAGCACAGCAAGGCTTGTAAAGCAGTTTTGCTCTTTTCCTAAGGTCAGGAATGGGGTCCCTTGTGCACTGGCACCCTGTCCCTCGGTGTCCCTGTCTCCACACTGCGCATTCCCCTTGTGGTACTGGGTTGCTTTTTCTAGCAGTGTACCCTTACCTATTTGCACATCCTTAGGGGGTGGAGCCTTGGTTGGACTCAGAGTCTGTGTGCTGGAAGTGACTGTTCCTGGGAGGAGAACAAAGAAATGTGAGCCTGCAGCGCCCCAAGAGGGATCATCCGGAGACCAGGCCTCCTGCTGCCCATCTTGCGCCAACCCAATCAGCCACATTCATTAAACCAGGCATCAAGCAGGGAGTTAAGGATGCAGAGCCCACAGTGGAGGTGCTCCAGGTACAGGCAAGGGAGTAGACAAGTCCATCAGTAGCTGGGACAGTGTGAGAAGTGGACCAGCTAGTGTCAGGAAGATGCATGGGAGAGTGATGGCTCTAGAGGTGTGGAATAGTGTGCTGGGGATATAGGTCAGCAGCACAGTGCCTGCTCCACAAGTATGAGTCCTGAGGTCGAATCCCAGTACCAAACAAAGAAAAGGGAGCTCAACAGAAAGTGTGCAGGCTTCTAGGCAAAGGGAAAGTGGTAAGCTTCTCACACACCGGAGTCTTGGTGTGCTCACAGACCCACTCCCCAGCTGCATAATTTTCCAATCAGCTATTGTCATGATAGAGAATGAGGTCAGTTCAAGAATTTTTTAAGTCATGTTCACAAAGTCTTGATTTGAGGCCCACTTCGGGGTCCAATCCTTGGTGTCAAGATTCTGGCCTCTGGAAAAGCAGTGTGGCAGGCTTCCTGGAGGGAAGAAAGAAGAGAGAGGATTCAACAGGCACTGCCTCTGTGGTAGAGAATGGAAACGAGGCTGAGGAAAGGCTCCGGCACAGACAATGGGCCGCAGTTCAGGTGCTGGGTGGGAGGCTGAGAAGCAGATCAGGTAGAAGAGCCTGGGCTCTACTCCACAGGGCCAGGAAACTCTTCTCAAGGCTTCTCTTCTGTGGGCCTTATGCGGGTCTCAGCAGTGAGCTCTGCAGGGCTGCCACCCTCATGGGCCACTGGCTTCATTTCAGAGATGAGCATGCGACCCCACCCCCACCTACACAGCTGTGGGAATGAGAACAAATGTGTGATTTTCCTAATGTGGGTCAGCACAAATTTCTTCTATCTTCCTCTCCCCTCTTCTCTTCCTTCCTTCCTTCCTTCCTTCCTTCCTTCCTTCCTTCCTTCCTTCCTCCCTCCCTCCCTCTCTCTCTCCCTTCCTTCTTTCCCTCCCTCCTTCTTTCATTCCTCCTCTTTCTCCTTCTCTTCCTTATTCCTCTCTCTCTCTCTCTCTCTCTCTCTCTCTCTCTCTCTCTCTCTCTCTCTCTCTTTCTTTCTTTCTTTCTTTCTTTCTTTCTTTCTTTCTTTCTTCCTATACTGGGGATTGAACCTAAGACCTCTGCACTGAGCTATATCCCCAGTCCTATTTCTTTCTTTCTTTTTTTAATTTTTGAGACAGGGTCTTTCCAAGTCACTAAATTGCCAAGATCGGCCTTAAACTTATAGCTCTCCTGCCTCAACCTCCCTGAGTGCTGCTGCAGTTACAGCTGTTCACCACTCACTCCATCTGGCCGGCATCTTCTCGTCATTTCCCTTTAGAACGTGGCCTGGAGGTACCTTTAGCACCTCCTACTGGAAGGTGTTTCTGTGTAGTTGTGAAATACAGAGTAAGTCATCTATGACTGCCATGAACAGTCTGACTACATGGCTACGGAACTAAGATGGAAAGGGACCTCAGGCAGAAGCAGGTGCACATTCTGCCTTGGAGGGTAGTTCTCCAGGCCTCACTGGCAGCTGGCGTGGACAGCCTAGTGGGAGGGGCCATTGGCTGAGCTCCTCCCACTGAGCTCAGTGCCTTGCTGACGTCACCTAACTTGGCCATCACAGCAGCTCTGGCATCCCGGTTCTTTGATGGGAAGACCAAGAGTCAGGTAAAGGAAACTGCCTGCATATGCCACGTGGGCGCACATACACCCACATGTATATGAATCACATCTGACAATGTTCCCTCCTTTGAGAGTTTAAGCTTTCCTCATTTCATAATTATATATTCTTTATACATCTGTGTGTGTCTAGTGTGTGTTATGTTAGATTTTATGTACTCAGTGTGTAAGTAATCCATGTAATCCAAAAGGCAGCTGGCTTCTCTGGAGTGGACAATGTTGACTTCCACTAGCCACTACTCAATGGACAGTGAAACAAGGAAAAGGAAAATCAGAAAGTGAGTTTGTATAGAAGATAGAGGAGATGGGAGATTCCTGTGAGGGAGGCATGTCCCTTCATTTATTTATTCAAAAATGAGAAGAAAAGGGGAAAGAATAAGGAAAAGGATGAGAAAATTTGCTTGAGATCCTTAATTATATTGCCTCATTGTATTCTCATATTTCAAGTCTGTGTGCCATATTTCAAGTCTGAGAAAGAATTTCACGAAAGCCCATGCTAGGTTTAGTAACAGATGGGAGAAGAGGTAAGCAACCTCTTACCTGAGGTTGGGCTGTGTTGGGTGGGGCTGCTGGCCAGGCCCACTGTCCCAGCAGGCCCCAGAAAGCTCGCTGTGCCCCGGGCCTCCTGGGCCCCTGTAGATGTGGGTGTGGAGGAGTGAGTCTCCCAGGGAGGCCCCCCAGGGGTTTTCTCTTCAGTGGTCTGAGCTCTAGGCGTCGAGGGCATAGATGCCTGCGTCTGTCCATTGGCAGGCACCCGTGGTGTTGCAGGCATTGTCCTGGTAGCTGCACGTTGAAAGCCACAGTCATTGATACACCCACTGTACACTCTGATTCACATAGATAGTTGCAGTCATGGAAATGTCACTACGGGCAGACAAGTACCTGTGCATAGTGCTGGCAGTGCACGGGGTTAAACTCTACCCAGGGCTGGACCAAATGACTAAGTGAACTTTGTTTCCTAAACTCTGCATTTTATAAACTCCTCCAAATTCCTCGGACATGCATCTGCTAGAGTATGTACGTGGGGCAGGTGGGCTCGGTTGAATTTAGGAAATCCACTTATATTCATGGTGGAAAGATGGTCTGAGCACCAGCAGTCTGGAAGCACAGCTGTGAACTCTGAGGCAAATTACCTCTTTTAGCCATATCATTAAAATGGGGACTATCCTTTAATTAGTCTAGTTTCTTACACACTTGGTCCTTTTTTTTTTTTCTTTCTAATGTGGAGTAAGGTGCTATTTAATTTTGTTCTTCCATAGCTAATATTTTTTATGCATATGCTTTAATGAATTTTTTCTTGGACAATTTCATTTTTGTGTATCTTGGTATGATTTTATTTAAATTTCTTGTGCTAATGGTTCATTTTTCTTGGAAATATGATATTATAAGTTGTACTAATTCAAAAATTTTAAATCTTTAAATATTTATTGCCCACTCCTTTTCACTTTGAGAATTCTATGGGGTCAGGGAGATGGCTCAGTAGAATAAGCGCTTGCCTGGCAAGTACAAGGCCCTGAGTTCAATCCCTGGTTCTGCCAAAAAAAAAAAAAAAAAGAGAATTCTAATTATATGAATATAAGTTTCTTGGTTTTGGCAGTGAACTATTATGACTGATCTGTAAATTCTTTCTTCATTTTTATTTTGGACAATTTTTATTGTTATATTCTTGTTTGTAAATAATTTATTTTCAATTTGCAATCTATTAAAAATTAAAATAAAAAAATAAAATGGGGACTATAAAAATAATTCCTTTCTTGTGACATCACAGGAGTGTCTCACTTAGGACGATGTTTCCATGATTGACCTTTAAAAAACTTGCTACGTGGTCTCACCTATTCATTTCCTATGGTAGAAATTAAAATCACCTTTTACAGGTTTTACAGAACCAATCCCATTGGAGGATTTTACATCTGTAAGTTAAGATGGGAAACATTGCTGCCTCCCAGTCATTCATATTTTTTAGTCAGAGCACGGGGCATCCATTCAAATATTTAAATATTCCTATATGTAAGTCTGACTTACAGACATTCGAGTTTCAAACTTTCATAGGTGTGCTGTCAGATACCAATGAATCTGGCTTACTTTCTCCTAGAACAGAACTTGTTGACAAATTGGGGAGTTACTGCAATGCTCTTGTTAACATTTTATAGTTTATTTTATATGATGAAGCACTTTTTAAAGTTTACTACTAGGCATTTTATGAATGTTCTCGTCTCTGGCAATCATACCTTTTCCTATATGACAAGGGGAAGTTCTCTAATTCTGTGTCACCGTCATGATGCCAGCTGTGGAAAGAACATTGCGTGGCAAATCTGGGGGTCTCCCAGCTGGCAAAGCTGACTCATCTCCTCTCTGTCCTGTCATCCTGACTCCTGGCCTGCTGATTTCTGATAGTTCTCTCCTCTTTGGGGTCTCCTGTGATGGTGGGCAGGAGCCGCTCACCAGCTCCCAAGTACAAGAGCTCTTCTGTGGCTGGATTAAGGACAGAGTTCCCCGCCTATGTCTCCTTCTGCTCTGAGGTCAGCATGGACAGCTACACTTACCGAGCTGCGTTGTCACCATCTGCCTTAGTAGTGGAAGCAAATTTACATTTTGATGAGTGAGTGTGTGAATGACTGAATTCTAATGGCTCTGGTCCTTCATTGAAACACACAATATTGACTCTTAATGAGAAGATAATTCAGTGTTCTGTTACGGTACTTCCCAATAGAAAACAAGGCCTTAGTTTGCATTTTGTGTGCACAGGGACAACACTGCTGATCATGCACAGGATGGGAGAGAGGGAGGAACCTCTTGGTGAGACACTGGCCGCACCTGTGTATGCCAAAAGTCAGGTCGCTAACACATTACTGTCATCACTATTCATCTAGCTATAAATTAACCTAACCATGCTATAAGTATTGATTCCATTTCACCATTTCCTGTGAATTTCTGGGGGTGGGGCTTTGCTGGGTGAAAGATATCAGGAAAGTCACAGTAAAATTCTCAATTTCTTGTGAAACTTAAAGTACTTCAATATGAAAGCTCTGAACATAAGTGTCAGAATTGCATTATGCCAATCACTAGCATGTCTTCTGTTTGACCGTACTGAGCCCATAGTAGCTCCCAGAGAGAGCTGTGGCACAGCTTCAGGTGGTGGAGAGGAATGAAGGGAGACACACTTACTTATGTGAATGCCCGGAGGGAACAGCAGAGAGACACAGCCAAGGGAGGAGATGGTGAAGCAGCGTCTTACCCTGGGCTGGCAGGGTGAGCAAAGCAGTACTCCAGGCCATGGTGGTCCTGGGAGGGAGCCGGCCCGTGCACCCAGTCAACTCTCTCACTGAAAGAGCAGTCGTCTTTCTCCAGAGGGGTGTCCTCAGAGTAGACACTGGGTGTGCAGGGCTTGTCGTTGGGAGCATCTGCTGGGTGTGGGTTATGGGCTTGGAAGTCCTGGCAGTTTTCCTGGTAGCTGCACCTGCAGGGAGATGGCCAGTGGCAGCTTTGGATGCTGTGCCACTTTGGACAGCACAAGCTGCTGAATCACCAGAGAGTGTGGGACAGTCGGCACACAGAATGCGGCGATCCCAGCATCACTCTGAGCGGTGCCCGAAGTCACAAAGAGACCTGTTGCTTCTTGAATAACCAATGAAGTGAAAATGCCTGCCTTCCAAAATGCTGTGTAATGAATTGCCGTGAGTAGAAGGTAGCATCGCTGAAGGTGCTACCTTTGAGTTCTGTGTCCTGACCAGAGCCTGAGCCCAGCCAGCATCCCTCAGCTACTTCAGAGCCCTCTGGTCAGAGCCTTCCAGTCACCTCTGGCTCCAGTCCTTGTCCTAGAAGAGGAGCTAGGATGACTGCATGTGCCCTGAAGGTACAGTAGAAACCTGAGGTAGGATTTGGGGGCTCAAAGCTGACAGTACTCAGAAGAGGGTCCATAAAGACAGAAGTGCAGATTTTAGAGAGAAATATAAACAAATGCTGCTGTTTCTTCCATGAAGAAAACGGAAAAGCTTGGATGTTATTTTTACTTTGGCCCTTTCCCAGGGACAGTTGAAGTGAAGGTGGTGTGTGAAGCATGGACATGAGGAGGACAGGCTTCCCCTAACCTATAGAATCCCTTCCTTTCACTGGACAAAGATCGGCCTGCAGATTAGGTTGGAATTGCATCCTCCTTGTCCTTTGGCACAGACAGGAGGTGGTCTGCAGCTGGGTGGTGGCCGAGAGCTCAGTGCCTCTGTGCTGCCTTTGGGCCACTAGCACTCGTGGGTCTTTACCTAGCTACCAGAATAGTTGCCCCAGGGCTAAGTGTGTCCCAAACTGTCACCCATCCAGATAATTAACAGTGTCAATCTGTAAGTACATTCTCCCTTCCCAGGCATTTGTCCCGAATAAAGGAGTACCAAAGAGAAGACAGAATTGAAATTAGGAGTGGTAAGCTCACAGGGAGACTTTCTCAATGAAATTGGCTTAACTTCAGATCTGTCTTCAGAGCTGGCAGAAAGGACAATCTACTATATGCCCACTTAATCTTCTCAATCAACCTTGTTTCATATAAAATGAGATTCCTTTCACAATATAACCAAGAGACACCCTCTGATAAACAAAAATCAAAATGGCATATTGAAACAGAACCTGACATTCACTGTATTCCATATTTCACTCCAAGAAATGACAATACAGAGTCTACTATGTACCAGGGATGGTGTGAGGCACCAAGGGGGAACCACACTGTAGTCCCAGAAGTGACTCTCTCTCCTTCTCTAAGTACAGTTTATTTAAGAGACTCACACAAATGCTGCTGTGATACAAATTGGAGTAAGACAGCATTCAAACATAGTACAATGACTATTTTTTTTAAGGAGAGATCACAGAAGGCAGATTTTGATTGGGAGAACTTCAAGATAGAGAAGATGGGATCTGAGGTGGCAGCTGGCAGCAAGCAGTGTTCTGCTGTATGGAAACTTAAGAAGAAGCTCCAGACAGCGACAGTCATCTGAGCAGTCTCATAGAGGGCTCAAAGATGTTTACTATTCACAAAAAAGTTAGAAATGTCAACATAGATATAGCAAAGACCTCAAGGAAAAAGAGACAGGACACAGGGGGCTTGTGGGCTCAAAGGCAGAGAACTGTGTACTCCAGGGTAGGGACTTTGTCCCTCTGCTGCTGACACGGGTGTTCAGGATGGTGAAGAGATATAACCCAAGAGGCATTTAAAGGCCATAGCTTTTGGGATAGTGCACGGATATTTTAGAGAAATTAGACAGTATGATAACAGACATTTTTCAGAGGATGGTATGGCTTAAGGAAAATAATAAAGGATTTGACCAACATCCTCACAGCCAAATAACAGCTGGACCCCAAAACTTTATTCAGTTAAGATGCCAGCTAGGAGGAACAAGAGAACTTAAAGGTGGGTCCAGAAATGCTGGGTAGTGACAGAGAAAGACAGGAAGATGGACAGGTATAAGTGTGGGGTAGGTAGAGGATGCCTGATAGCTGCTGGGTATTATAGGGTGACAATGTTTCTGGAACACTGTAAAAGTATCCAGTATATGCAGGAGACACAAGAAAACAAGTAGATGAGCACCAAGAGGTCTGTGGAAATTGGATAAATGTGTCCCTCCTAAATGGAGAAAGGGACACAAAAGTTGTTTAGCTCCAGTTGCCTGTTGCCAAGAGGAAGGGAATCCAGGGTGGCCATTCCTTAGCAAAAAACTCCAGAAATTCATATTTTTTTCTAAATGATTAAATCCTGTGATGTTTAACACAATATAACCAAATCCATGTAAAATACCCAAAGGCTACAGTGGGATTTGGGAGGTCTGCACTCACCCAGAACACCAGATATGCTGCTCGTGAATGTGTAGTTGATGACTGGGGATTTCTCTGCCATATCCCAGAAGTCAGAAAGATTCCTTCCTGCAAAAATCACAGCCACAGGATGGACTCCTGTGCTCCTGTGCTCGGTGGTCACCCTGGAGCTCCTGGCGAGGATGCTGCTGCTCACCTGCCTTCCCGGCCATCACGCAGATGAAGATGCAGTCGGATTCATCGGTCTGACTCACTGCGGGATGAACCAGGAAACAGCAGGACTCAGCAGGGAGGCTGCAACTACACACCTTTGGCAGAAATGAAAACAAACCTGGGAGTACCTAGGTCAAGAGTATGCCAGAAAGCAAGACTCACTCCTTCCTCCAGAGGCAGCTCTGAGTTTCTGATTTCTTTCTTTATTTGGCAGGGTGAAGAAAGAGGGAGATGGTGCAGTGTAGCATAGTGGCTAAGAGCACAGCTTCTGGGGTCAGTTTCCGGGGTTGCAACATTGACTCTGCCTGCTCCCAGCTATGCACCACAAGAAAGTGAGCTGCTTGACATCTCTAGGACTCCATTTACCCATCATTAAAATGGTCAAAATCTAAATCCAATAATCCTTTCTTTGCAAGTTCCAACTTCCCAGACCCCTGCAACTGGAAAGTTTATGAGTTTGGTACCAACATTCATTGGCCGCAAAATCTGGTCAGCCAGACATGAGGCTAATAAAGTCTTCATCTATTCCACTTAGTGGCTCAGCCATTGTGCTGAGTGAATGGCCATGTGTTTTGTGACAGCAGGCTTCCCTGGATGCTGCTGAAGTATCATCTCAATGTGATGTAGACATTCTAGTAGACTTTTCAAAACTGAATACTTCTGAACTCTTAAGCAGGCTTGTCTGTGAAGATGCTGCTTAATGGGCTGTGAACCTGCGGCTGCAGATTCCTCATGGGATGACTCTGAGGCCATGAGATAATGTGAGTGTGAAGCGCTGACAGAGGCAGGGCCTGATGAGTGGTCATAATACTAATCACTGTTATTGTTCATGTGATGCTATTAGTACAATGCCCAAAGCATGGGCTGAGAGCCAGATTGCTTGGGTTAGAATTCTGTCTCTGCTGTGTGATCTTGGGCAGATTACTTACTTTCCTGTGCCATGCTTTTCTCACCTGTAAAGTGAAAATAAATGCAGTAGCCATGTGTGCCACAGTAGTGGGAATCTAACAAGGGATTCATAGGAGGCGCTTAGGAGAATCCCTGCATCCTGATGGCATCTCTTGGGCCTTTATCCTCACTCTTTCTGGCGTATGCACACATAGCTGTTCCGTAGTGTAAAACATCATCTTCCTGTTGAGATCAACTTCAGGCTGTTGTCTATATGTGTATTTCATCAACACATTTATATATATTGTAGAATATTATTTATTGTATTTTTATTATCACCAGGAGCTTCTTGTTCTGCCCACTTTGCTAAGAGGGATGGTACAAAAGTCTGGGAAATGATTGTACCATTTCAGGTGGGGAAGTGTGACTCACTTAGGATTTCCACAAGTCCCTTGTAAACAAGGCACATGTTGAAAAACTGTCCTTAGAGCTGGGGAGATAGCTCAGTGGTCTAAAGCACTTTCTTAGGCAAGCTTAGGCAAGAACAGGGACCACAGTTCAATCCCTGGCACCACATGCCACACCAGCCCAGCCCCCAGGGAGGGATGAGATGGCCATAAAAATAAGTTTAAAAGCTGTATTTCAATGGAGAGCTTTAGGCTCCATAGAGATCTGAGTGAAACAACTGCCTTCCTAATAGTTCATTTTGCTCATCTTTCAGGGGGAAGCTAGCTCTCCAGAAGAATCTGCTTCCTTGAGTCTACCTTCATTCTCCTAACTCCAGGGCTGGATTTGTCCTCACATTTCCTGGATTCCCAGAGTAGCTCTGATTGGTTCCTTCAAGTACTGTGCTAGAAGCTGGAGCACTTCAGCCCATTGTCTAAGCAGAGCCTACAGAACAGCTCCTGGAAGCCCAACCTTTGGGGGCTGACAGGGGGCAACAAGCCCTGCTTGGCTATTCCACAGGCAGCTTCCAGTCAGCTTACCTGAGAGGAGAGAGGTGGACCTGAAAACCTCTGTGAGGGAGCCAGTGGAGTTCCCCACGACGTCTACCAGGAGGGCTGTGAAATCTGCAAAACAGAGGGGGGAGGTTTTGACTTGTGACTCAGAGACTCAGAGGAAAGGGTTGCATTAGGGCTTTCCAGAATGGGTTTCACAAGTCTGATTTTGTTCAATGTATTCAACAACATTAATAATCATATCAAGAAAAACCTACTAATTCTGAAACAAAAATAAAAGGTCAATTTCAGGCAGGCATGAAACTTTGGGCTCATTTGTGGCTTTCTTTTATGACCAAATATATTTTGTCTTTCACAACCAAGGGGAGTATTATTATAAGAGTCTCATACAGTGATTTCTGAAGAGGTCCCCTGGATGATTTCTTGTCATGCCTTGTACAAGTCCATATGCTTCTTTTACAAATTGCTAAGATCCTGAGTTTGAGCTTGAATATACTGACTTGAAAACACAGAACCCAGATAGACAGGGAAGGTCATATGACAATCAATGGTGTGCACAGCAGCATGATTGACAGGCAGTAGACATTAGCATATGTGAGCCAGAATGCTAATATGATTTTTGTGACATCTTCAGGGACATGAGCTAATTTCCTGGAAGCAGAAGTACCTACACACCTCTGCAGGTGCAGACACCTGTCCATGTAGAAAGCTGAAAAACATTAGCATCCTCCTTTCTGTGTCACAGGGGTGAAACTGAAGTGAGTTAGCATTGCGTAGCATCACTTCTTCCATCTATACTCTTTATACTTCTCAAACCTCTCATTTGTTTATTAATTAATTTTTCTAATAAATATTCATGGGATGTTTTCAGAGTCCCAGATACCTACTAGCAACTGGAGAGCTTAGTAAAACATCCAGAAGATGCTAGAGTTACTGAGAAACAAAGTTTCATAAGCAGGCCAATGAATCCGCAATTATTTTTTTTACACAAAAGCTATGACCAAGACTTGGGAACCAGACACCAACAATAGGGCAAGCTTCTGGCCAGGGATCAGAGAGTGGAGGGACCTTGGATGGGTCCACTAGTATGAGGCAGAGCAGGGCTGTGAGCTAGGTCTGCCTGGGGCCAAGGTACCCCTCCTCCTTGCAGCCCCACCCCTGCTCTGTACATGTACCCTCTTGCTTACCCCTGCTGTCCACTTTCATTTTTATTTTATAAAGAGAGTACAAAATAGTATTAAAACAGAAAAATTGCAAGTGATACAGAATTTCACTTAACACATCCTGTCTGATTAAGGTTAGCTATCAGTTGTTAGGCGACCTAGTGTCATGTGTCACTAACTTCACAAAACTG